CCACTCCGCGCTGGGCTCGCCTGTTAGCCCGTAAGATTCCTGCCTTTGATCTGTCTATAGATGATGCTCGTCAGTATGCTTTGTATGCTGATGTTGACTATAGTGCTGATGGATCTTGTCAGAAAACCAAGCAGGAATGAGTGCATTGAATGAAATGTGGGTACAAGTACTAACCCTAACTTTGGGTTGTACCCCATATGGGCTACCCCACTATAGCCTACACAGAACTAGCACAGATGTAGTTTGGCACACCCCCATAGGCAAAGTGGGGGAGAACAAGGGGTCACAAGACCAGTCAAGAGAAGCAAAGCAAGCTCAGGATGGATCACAACGTCACCACACACTCCGAGCACAAGCAAAGGGCCACAAGGCCAGTTCACATGCAGAGGTATATATGCAACAACAACAGTACAGTGATCACTACCTAGCAAGAGCAAGCATGCAGGTATATATATAAATCACAGTACAAGCAAAGTCACGAAGTGAGCAAGTGAGACGAAACAGGCACAAGGATTAGCATAGTACAAAAGCGCTGATGATCACCAGACGAAAGTGCCTTGGTGAATATATCAGCAGTGTTGGCCCGGGTGGCCACGTGTGCAAGACGAAGCTGACCACGCTGCTGCAACTCTCGAGCAAGGAAGTAACGCAGAGCGATGTGCTTCGTTATGTGCTCCAGTCTGTGCTCCTGACACAAGGTAATAGCAGCCTTGTTGTCTACGTACAGATTTGGAGGAGAACGAGGCCGCTCTCCCAAGTCGGTCAGCAGGTAGGTGAGCTAGCGTAACTCCTGTGCAGCCATGGCTGTGGCGTAGATCTCAGCCTCACAACTGGAGCTGAGAACAGAAGACGAGCGGGTAGACCGCCAAGAAACAGAGCCACAGCCAAGGCTGCTAGTGTAACCCTGTGACGACCGCTGCGTAGCCAGGTCGTCAACCCAAGACGCGTCCGAGTGTCCAGTGAGGACAACGTCACCCCGTCCTCCAAGCACGAGCCCCATGGCCGATGTACTTCACAAGTAGCGCAAGACCGTATTAGCAGCCTCCCAGTGCTCTCGCTGGTGTCTCCCAGGCGCAACGTAGCGAGCCAGGAATCTAAGGGGGTACGCAAGGTCAGGACAAGTGCAGGTCATCAGGTACATGAGGCAGCCCACAAGCTCTGGGTACGGGCCATTCGGCTCTACGGACTCATCTGAAGGCAGAGCTGAGAGCGAGTGACCGGTAGCCATAGGAGTGGACTGTGGCGAGGACCAAGTGAAGCCGAAGCGCTCAAGGACCTGCTGCACCATGTGTGACTGAGTCAGTGTGATGGTGCGTCGTGCTCTGTCCCGGGTGATCTGCAAGCCAAGGTAGCTGCGCAGCTCACCCAGGTCTGTGCACGTATGTCTCTTCTGCACCTCCAACTTCACAAGGGCGAGAGCCTAAGTGTCAGCAGTGGCAAAGACCAAGTTGTCGACGTACACGAGGATGTAGAATGGCGGCAGCGAAGTGTCGGTGCGTAGAAACAGCGACGGGTCAGCAGTGGAAGGGGCAAACCTAAGAGCAGCGAGTGTCGTCCTCAATGTGTCGTGCCACTCACGAGGTGCCTGGTGGAGACCGTAGACTGGCCGGCGGAGGCTCCACTGGGTACCAGGAGGGAACGACCCAGTGAAGCCAGGTGGGCGGCACAGCCAGATCTCCTCGTGCAGACTGCTTTGTGAGAAAGCTGTGCTGAAGTCCAGAGAGTGAAGCTCGTAGTCACGCTGGGCGGCAACGTGCAGCAGCACCCGAAGAGTGGTCATCTTTGGGGTGGGGGAGAAGGTCTGGAAGAAGTCAACTCCCTGTCGCTGACTGAAGCCTCGTACAACGTAACGAGCCTTGAAGACAGGCGGAGAACCCGGCAGCCGCTTCACCCTGAAAATCCACATGCCATCGATGATGTTCGCCCCAGGAGGGGGAACCTCGTCGACGTAAGTGCCTGTGGACTTCCAGGATGCCATCTCTGTGTCCATGGCTGTCTGCCACTGAGAGGAGTAGGGACCCGTAATGTCCTCTGCGTAAGAGTGCGGGGTCGGGATGTCTGGTGCATCCGGGTCTCCCTCAAGGGCAAGCAGCATGGCCACGAGATGAGGTACAGCAGCCACAAGACACTCAAAGTCCTCCTGCCTGTCCTCAAGGACGTCCGTGTCAAGAGCACACTCACCCCCGACGGACGGAGGATGGATAGACTTAGACTCAGCAACTAGACTGGCAGCATAGTCGAGACGACAAGCAGCAGCAAAGTCAACAAGCTCAGAGACTAAGGCAGACGCAGCAGCAGACTCAAACGACGAGTCAGTGACAACAGTGGCTAACAGACGCGTGACAGTAGGGTGAGCAGCACGAACCAGGTCAGACTCAGGGTCCGGAACGTGCGGAAGAGAGGACTCAGGAGGAGACGGCAGGGGAACACGCTGTGGAATAGAGGAAGGACGAAGTGCCATAGTGTGCGTGCCAGGGACAGGAGGCGGACGCTCACGAGGAATACGACAACTAGTGCGACCAGTGCGAACAGGCGAGACAGGACGAGACGCAGGCTCACGACGCTCTGTAAGCGAGTCTGTCTGCTCAGTGTAAGGAGGAGGAGCAGGCAGTGGGGAGCCTGGCTGTAACGGGAGGCTAGTAGAAGACGGGAGGCTAAGAACCTGGCAAAGCACGGAGTTGGGCGGTGGCAGAGACGACTGTGACGGCGGAGCGAAGAACAGCCGCGGCTGAGCAGTGCCACCAGCACCAGTAGCTCCAGCGCCTACAGCAGCTCCAGAACCTCCAGCGCCAACGCCTCCAACGCCAGCACCACCAGCTCCAGCACTACCAAGGTTTAGGGTTTAGGGTGTAACGCGAGTAGTCGTCGACAACCAGCAGAAAGTACCGCTCACCGCCCTGTCCACGAACGCAGGCTGGGCCCCACACGTCCAGGTGGAGGGTCTGCAGGGGAGCCTCTGTCGGGGGAAACGAGGAGTGAGGAGCGGCGCGCTGCCGCCCCTCGACACAAGGAAGGCAGGGCGGAGCAGGCGAGGCAGGAAGGGGAGGCAGAGACCTGGGAAGACCAGACACTAGGAGGCGACGATGCATGCCACGGAGACGCTGCAAGGAGGGGTGGCCCAGGCGGTGGTGCCAGAGAAGGGTCTGGTGCGACAGGGAGCGACACTCACAAGGGGAGGCTACCAGACCTGACGCAGACACCTGACCGACAGCAGCTACCTAAGGAGACACAGTCGTTAGTGTATAAAGACTCGACCCTGGCCGACGGGTGAACGTGGCCAGGTGACGGCCAGTCCTGGAGCACGTACAGATCGCCACACGCTGTCCTCCAGGGGTAAAGGTGTCAACCCACTGGTCCTGGAGAACTGCGTTGCTCACCAAGACTTGACAGTGAGCCAGACGGAACCGCCGGGCACGGAAGCACAGTGGTGGACCGTGCAAGGACTGGGCCCCCTAAAGGGTCAGCCAGAGACACTGCAACATGTGCAGGGAGTGGTGTGAGGGCTACACTGTCGCAAAAGAAACAGCGGGAAGCACCTGAGTCAAGCATGAAGGTGTGCAAGGCCTCAGAACCTGAGAGAGCAGACTCACTAGCACCTAGGGCAGCAGCCTCAGCACCACTATGTAAAGCATACATGGCAGTAAGGATGGCGTCATAGTCTAAAGCAAAGACATCAACGGGAGACCGCATGCGGCACTGGGGCAGGCTGCTCGGGCCGCGCGCGGGCCTGGCGCGGCCCTTACGGGCCGCGCGCGGGCCTGGCGCAGGCCGTACGGGCCGCGCGCGGGCCTGGCGCAGCCCGTACGGGCCGCGCGCGGGCCTGGCGCAGCCCGTACGGGCCGCGCGCGGGCCTGGCGCAGCCCGTACGGGCCGCGCGCGGGCCTGGCGCAGGTCGCGCAGGCCACGTCGGGCGACGGGGGGCGACGCGCGGGTCCGCGGGCTCCGTGACGGGCGACGGGGGGCGCTTCGACGGGCGACGGGGCGGTCGACGGGAGGGGGGGAAGCGCGGGTCCCCGGGGTGACGCACGAGGGAGGAAACCGCCGCGCGCCTCGGGGCCACGGCGGGCAGAAAACCGCCGCGCGCCCCGAGCGCGCGGCGGGAAGAAAAAACGAACATCGCGCGCCACGGGACGCGCGACACACAGGAAGGCAGCGGAAGCAGGCGGGCCCACAGGCCAAGAGCGTAACCGCTCTGATAGCATGTTAGAATAGTAGCTAGACCAGGGAGCCATAGCTAGGGTTTACCTAGCTAGGCAAGAGAGAAATAAGCAAAGGAGCGTTTGACTAGAAAGAAGGGAGGTACAAATAGCAAGCCCTAAAAGGGTTTACTCACTATTGAGTACCCCACTACAGACTAGACAAGCATTATAATCTGACAATTCTACATCGCAAATGGATCTAACAATAACGGAGTCCCTGTTTGAACTCAGCCTCGACCCCCAACAATATCGGAATCCGAAGGTGGCGACGAAGCAATTTTCGAAGCTGGGGGGTATCCCGTGGGTTACAACGAACTGAGCGACGCCCTGATTGGTCGCTTCATTCTCACGAAAAGCAACTAGCCTGAATTACCACTTCGTGAAAGTCGCGCCAGCGCAGAGGTAACTTGAGGGCGTCTTTGGGGAAATCTGTGGGTATCCTTGGGGTATCCCATGCTTTCCAGCCGATTTCGGACTTGTGAATTTTGGGATGGCGAGGTGACTGGGAGGGATGGGGAGATGTTAACACCTCACCTTCCGGACCAACAACTCCCCTCCCGAACCAGGGTGGTTACCAGGTCTCCACCTGCAAAACGTGAAAGTAGTCGCAGGCAGCGCAGGGAAGGGTCGCTCGGTTCCTGCGCAACCACTCTAGCTGTGGTGTGCACACCAAACTCTGTCTTGTAATTCAGGACGACAGAAAATGCCCAGTCTGAGCAGCTATATCGACAGCCATAGCTTAGAAATTCTAGGCTTCCAAGCAAATCCAGCGCATGTCTGAAAATTCCGCCATAGGGCTTTATGACCGTGACTCCATTCTTGCAATCCGTCGCTTTTGCCAAACGCGGGCCTAGGTCACGTTTCCACGTTTAGCCAACGGTGTTCTAGCTAAAGCTGTCGCGGAAGAGAACTCCTTCCCGTCGCCCATTTTCTCTCGAACAAGCACGCACACTCCCTTCCGTCACCCTCGCGCACTCCATTCCGCTGCCCACGCCCAAGACATTCCCGTCGCCCACGCTCACTCCCTTTCCATCGCTATCGCTCCATCGTACCGTCGCCCACGATCAGTCACTTCCGTCGCCCATGGTCACTCCATCCCTTCGCCTACGCTCACTCCCATTCCGTCGCCTTTGCGCAATCCTTCTATCGCACACGCGAACCCCCGCTCGTCGCACACGGCCTATTCCCTCCCGTCGCACAGTACCTCCCGCATCTCCGCCTCACCCATCTCCGCCGCACCCATCTCCGCCTCACCCATCGCCGCCTCACCCATCTCCGCCTCACCCATCTCCGCCTCACCCATCTCCGCCTCACCCTCTCCGCCTCACCCATCGCCGCCTCACCCTCTCCGCCTCACCCCAGCTCCGTCCGCACGCACTTTCTCTCGTCGCGCGCGACGACTGTCCTTCCGCCGCCCACGCTCTCCCCCTTCGGCCGCGTTCTCTCACTACCCTCTTGTCGCGACGGTCCCTTCTGAAGCACACGCTCAATCCCCTTGAGGGGAGAACATTACTCACCCCCCTCGCTCGGCCACGCGATATCCCTCTCGTCGCCCACGCTCACTCCTCCCCGCCGCGCACGCTCTCCCCTCATCCGTCGCCCACGCTCACTTCCCTTCGTCGCCCACGCTCACCACCTGCCCCTCGCATTCTCTCATTCCCCTCCGTCGCCTATGCTCCCTCCCCATCCCTTCCCTCCCCATCCCCGCCTCCCCATCCGTTCCCTCCCCATCCCTCACCTCCCAGTCTCTCATCTTACCATACCATACCTCCCCATCCCTCACCTCCCCATCCCTCACCTCCCCATCCCTCACCTCCCCATCCCTCACCTCCCCATCCCTCACCTCCCCATCCCTCACCTCCCCATCCCTCACCTCCCCATCCCTCATCTCCCCATCCCGCATCTCCCCATCCCTCATCTCCCCATCCCCCATCTCCCCTTCCCTCATCTCCCCATCCCTCATCTCCCCATCCCGCATCTCCCCATCCCTCATCTCCCCATCCCCCATCTCCCCTTCCCTCATCTCCCCATCCCTCATCTCCCCATCCCCCATCTCCCCTTCCCCATCTCCCCAATCTGCCCCACCCCATTCCGCCCCACCCCATTCCGCCCCACCCCATTCCGCCCCATTCCTTTCCGCCATGCCCTCTAACTTCCCATCCCCTTTTCCTCGTTTCTCCATCCCTCCTTTCCCCATCCCATCATTCCCTCCTCTCCCTCTACCCCCTCCTCTCATTCCTTACTCTACTCCCTCTCCACTCCCTGTGGGGAGCGGCAGTGGCAGCTTTCCCCCGTCGCACACGCGCACTCCCCTCCGACACGCACGCTCTCTCCCCTCCGTCGCCTACACTCCCTCCCCTCTCGTCGCACACGTGCGCTCTCTCCTCTCCTCCCCGTCCATCATCACGCCATCCCACATCTCCCCATCCCTCACCTCCCCGTCCATCACTTCTCTGGTCTTCCTCTCCCTCTCCCCTCTCCTCTCATTCCTTACCCTGCTCTCTCTCCTCTCCCTCCTCCCTTTCCACTCGCCCCGCCACTCCTGCCGTGCTTCTCCCTCACCCCATTCCGCCTCGCCCCATTCCGCCCCACCCCATTCCGCCCCATCCAATTTCGCCCCACCCCATTCCGCCCCATCCCATTCCGCCTCACCCGCCTCACCCCATTCCGCCTCACCCCATTCCGCCCCACCCCATTCCGCTCCACCCCATTCCGCCCAAGCCCCCTTGTCGTGCACCCTACTTCCCTCCGTCTCCCCATCCCTCCTCTCCCTATCCCTCCTCATACCATCCCTCCTCTCCCCGTCCCTCCTCTCCCTATCCGTCCTCTCCCTATCCGTCCTCTCCCCATCCGTCCTCTCCCAATCCGACCGATCGATGCCCCATCCGTCCTCTCCCCATCTGATCGTCTCCCCATCCATCCTTCCGCCCTCCCTCACATCCTTCATCACTCCCTCCCTTCTTGCTTCCGCCCGCCCGCTCTCACTCTCTTTCCATTGCCCGCCCTCCCTCCCTCCCGTCAACCACGCTACGTCCCCTTCGTCACTGATGTGCACTCCCCTTGAACGTGCACGCTCAATCCCCTCCCGCCCTGTCCTATCCCCTCACCCCGCCCTGTCCTATCCCCTCACCCCCCCTGCCCTGTCCACACCCCATCCCCTCCACACCCCATCTCCTCCTCACCCCATCTCCTCCTCACCCCATCTCCACCACACCCAATCTCCTCCACACCCCATCTCCTCCTCACCCCATCTCCTCCTCACCCCATCTACTCCTCACCCCATCTCTTCCAAACCCCATCTCCTCCACACCCCATCTCCTCCTCACCCCATCTCCTCCTCACCCCATCTCCTCCTCACCCCATCTCCTCCTCACCCCATCTCCTTCTCACCCCATCTCCTCCTCACCCCATCTCCTCCTCACTCCATCTCCTCCTCACCCCAACACCTCCTCACTCCGCATTCCACCATCTCCACACCACCCCACTCCGCTGCACCCCATCACAAGAGTGCCCCATACCGCTTCACCCCATCTCAAGAGCACCCCATTCGGCCCCACCCTATCTCAAGGTCACCCCATTCCGCCCCACCCCTCAAAATCCCCCCATTCCGCCCCACCCACCTCCACCCCACCCCCTCTCCGCCCCACCCCATCTCTGCCTCCCGCTTGTCTCCCCCATACCCTCGATCCTATTTTCCCCCAAATCCTTCCCTGTTTCCCCCCTTCCCGTCCCCACACCCCATTCTGCAGCTGCATCCAGAATAGCCCGCCACAGCAGCAGCTGTGGCGGGCGGGTGTGGCTGCAGACGGGGGTCACAAGGTGAGGCACACCGCTGTCATGTGCTCTGTTGTGTGGGGCTGTTCTCTGTGCTGCTCTGCTCTGCGGCTCTGCGGTGCAGTGCTGTGATCCGCTTTGCACACACCCCTCCTCCCCCTCGCCATATCCTTTGTTCCCCTCTTTCTGTCTCATCTCATTCACCACCAGGTGGCTGTGCAACGACTCAAGCTCAAGACATCCGTTTGTGTACCATCATTATATGATACTAGCATGTTCCCTCATGGACGCACTATGGGCGTGTTCCTACGGCCCCTTATCAGGCAACCTCTTATCAAGCTCGTGTCAAAACACACTGAAAATTCCCTAAACCCAGAAACCCTCGCTACTTTTACCAGGCAAGGCTGACAAGAGGTTTGCCTAATAAGAGCGTAGGAACACGCCCTTACATGATGACCCGCTTGGCTCGTGTATTGTCCCTCTCGCAATAAAGCTTGATTGAACTCATTGGGTATCGCGAATATGCCGAATGCGTTGGGTTGTAAGATTGAATGGTAAAAAACGGGGTCATGATGGCACAAAACATAACGCACAAAACCATTGTCGTAGGATTCTTCATTGGAATCATCGCAATTCTTCCGAACCTCAGATTGCAGCGGCCTAAGCCCAACCCAAGCCTGGCGTTGACTCGGTTTTGTAATTCAGGCTGCGGGTTTTAAAACCGTTGGCCCAAATTGCACAAGCTTTTAAAAGTTGACGGGAGGGGAGTTTTACTGGGTTGGGTTCTGGCGAGCGTTTTAAAAACTTGACCCGCGCGGTCCACAATTTGGGCCCGGGCTTTAAAGTTTGCTGCTTTTGCTATAAATGTTAGCTCAAATGTTCGCTCACATTTGTACTCATTTGTACTCATTTGCAATCCTCACACGCCCTTACGGGTGCAATTGAGTGAAGATTGCAAATGAGTACAAATGTGAGCGAACATTTGAGCTAACATTTATAGCATAAGCAACGAACTTTAAAACCAGGGTCTTACGTTGTCCATTTGTTTTGCAGTTGATGAATGGACCTTGACTAGGATTGGTTGGCTTGGTGTAAAGTTTGACGAGGGGTGTATTGAGGGGCACGAATGAAACACAAATCGCAGGGTGCAACCTGATACAATCTGAACCGTCTTATAGGATCGTCTCAGGTTGATCGCACGGAGTATAGCAGCGGAAGATTGCTTGGTAATGTCGGGTACGGACCCTGCCAGAAGGAGATTTGAATCTCGACAGAAGTGACTAATACAATGCCAGTGTAAGGAATTTTCCCGAATTCCTTATCGGGGTTGACTGCTTCGCGTACATCCCCGATTTTTGAACTCTGCACGTTCGGCTGATATTAACACTGCCGAGGCTCCTCGCGTCGCCTTCGGCGTTTCCCTTCGCCAAACATGCACCCAACCTCGCCTCCCGAGGTTCCCTCCTAGCTAGGCTAGCCCCTACATTAGTGTATGCCTTCATTGTATTCTCAGTTCGTTCAATCACAGTCTCGTTATTGGTTCATCCGCACACTCTCTTGTAAAACTCATAACACCTGGTATCAGAGCTACTTTCCTAGTTCACCCCGCTTTTCGAGGGTAGTTTGGTGGCACGGGTGTGGCTCGTTTAGTGACTACACGGCGGTTGGCCGCAAGGTTTGTTAAATCAATCCTACCCGACTCCGATAGTTCATGTTTTCATTTACCTGAAGGCCACGGGTACCCGATTGCCCACAAGACGTAGCATTAGGCATATGGATCAGGAGGCGGTTAACAGGCTGATGGCGCAAGTAGCAGAGATGTAGAAGGGCATGGATTCATTAATGGCGGAAGTGACAACGTTACGAGAGGAAAACGCCGAGCTACGCCAGACGCGAGGTGAAGCGCGTCAGGAGTCGCCTGCTTCCGAAGGCGAGGGCAATAGTCAGGCCGTGAGCAACCCGTTGGATGCGCTCACACGTGACTTCGAAGAAGAAGATAGGCAGCGAGCGGCGGCAGCGCCAATTGCAGTAACGACGATCAAGATTTAACCCGTCAACCCGCCCCCGTTCAACCCTACGGACAAAACGACTACAGTGAAGGGGTGGCTGTTCGGTGTTGAAGTCTTCTTCACTGCAGCAAGCGTTAACGACGATGCCACGCGTATTAATTACGCGGTTTCGCTTCTTCGAGGCGCAGCGCTTGAATGGTGGTGCTGAACCTTGGAAACGGGGACGCCGACAGGTGTGACACATGCGGCAGACGGGACCTCAACAGTGACTAATCAAGTGGCAGAGTCGATCTTCGGTGTGACCAAGATACGCACGTGGAAGGAGTGGGGCGCAGCCTTACGAGATCGCTTCGAGCACGTATCCGCCTCGGAGCAAGCTCGCATGAAGCTGCGTACCTGGTCGCAGATGGCATCTGTCCAAGACTACACAGCGTCATTTATGGGCCTCGCCGACCAAATGGATGACATGTCGGAGGCGGAGCGGTTGGATAAATACATCGGCGGCCTCAAATATGAAATACAGTATGAGGTGCGCCATGGCCGCCCGTCATCATTCCTAGAAGCAGTACGGCTGGCGGAGTCAACAGATGCGCTGATGTGGTACGCGAGAACAGCTTCCCGGGAGGGAAACCGTTTTCGTGGCCAGACCCATCGGGCCACTATCAACGCCGTCCATACACCCGACCGCCCTCCTAAGGGACCGTGTTATAAGTGTGGGAAGACGGGTCACTACATGCGCGACTGCCACGAGAAAATGCCGCTGACGGGAACGACAGGAAGGAGCAGGGAAATGGGAAAAGTCAGTAATTAGCGGGCCCTTTACTGACTGTGCTCCGTCGCCCGAACCCCACCATCCCCACCGAGTCGTGGTTCCGATTCATGCAATCGATCGCACTCGGCCGAATAACGGGGATAATCATGTGGATCACCCTGTGCTGGTCGCTTGGTCTTTCGTCCTCGCTGCAGTCATCTTCGCGTTACTTAGGAATGTCTATTCAATTATTCCATATCGTAGCACAACCAAACCTTCTAAGCTCGGATTTTGGTTCAGTGCCGAAGCAAAATCACCAGCCAAGTTGTTAATATGAGAAGCTCCTAGGGCTTTGGGCTTAGGCTTAGGATGGCATGAGAGAGTAGGCAAAAGAGAGCGGAACAAACAAGTACAAACATGGTATGAGAGCCAGTTTGAAAGTCTTTCATTCAAGGACAACCTTCATTATAAATTACTCTTACATCAGGGCAAGCATTATGCCAGGCGCAGATTGCGGAGAAAGAGGGGAAAATCCAGTTCACCCAGCCTCCAATGTCACTTCAGAAGCTGACCACGCTGCTGCAACTCTCGAGCAAGGAAGTAACGCAGAGCAATGTGCTTCGTTCTGTGCTCCAGTCTGTGCTCCTGACACAAGGCAATCATGGCCTTGTTGTCTACGTACAGAACTGGAGGAGAACGAGGCCGCTCTCCCAAGTCGGTAAGCAGGTAGGTGAGCCAGCGTAACTCCTCTGCAGCCATGGCTCCTGCGTAGATCTCAGCCTCACAACTGGAGCTGAGAACAGAAGACGAGCGGGTAGACCGCCAAGAAACAGAGCCGGAGCCAAGGCTGAAAGTGTAACCCTGTGACGACCGCTGCGTAGCCAAGTCGTCAACCCAAGACGCGTCTGAGTGTCCAGTGAGGACAACTGGACCTCGTCCTCCAAGCACGAGACCCATGCCCGATGTACTGTAGACATGATAAGAACGATGAGGACACATGGTTCTCGTGGACATATGGTTCTACACATGGTTCTACATCCATGTATCCTCATCGTGAGATGGCGAGGAGAAACAGGCCGTCGACGTACACGAGGATGTAGAACGGCAGCAGCGAAGTGTCGGTGCGCAGAAACAGCGACGGGTCAGCAGTCGAAGGAGCAAACCCAAGGGCCGCAATGTCGTCCTCAGTGTGTCGTGCCAGTCACGAGGCGCCTGGAAGAGACCGTAGACTGGCCGCCTGAGGCTCCACTGGGTACCCTCAGGAAACGACCCAGTGAAGCCAGGAGGACGGCACAGCCAGATCTCCTCGTGCATGGTGCCCTGTAAGAAAGCTGTGCTGAAGTCAAGAGAGTGAAGTTCGTAGTCACGCTGAGCGGCAACGTGCAGCAACACCCGAAGAGTGGTCATCTTCGGGGTAGGGGAGAAGGTCTAGAAGTAGTCAACTCTCGAGACTAAAGCCTCGTGCAACGTAACGAGCCTTGAAGACAGGCGGAGAACCCGGCGGCCACTTCTGCGGAGACAACGGGAGCTTGACTACGGGGAAGGCACGTGTGTGAGAGGGATCTCTGCGTTCGTTCACTTAGTCGTTTCCAAGTGCTCACACGGCTTGCCAGTCCAACTGGTCCATCTGACCGACAGGCCAGGTGGTCCAACCGGTCCGTCGGACCGACAGGCCAGGTGGTCCAATTGGAATGTCGGACAGACAGGCCAGGTGGTCCAACCGGACCGTTGGACCGACAGGCCAGGTGGTCCAACCGGTTCGTTGGACCAACAGGCTAGGTAGTCCAACCAGTTCGTTGGACCGACGGGCCAGGTGGTCCAACCGGTCTGTCAGACGGACAGGCCTGGTGGTCCAATTGGTCTGTTGGACCAACAGGCCAGGTGGTCCAACCGGTCCATTGGACCAACAGGCCAGGTGGTCCAACGGCCGTTGAACCAACAGGTTAGGTGGTCCAACTGGCTATCATTCGACCTCGGGATACCACCCCCGAGGTCGTCCTCGCAGAAACCACCCCCGGCAACCTTCACACACGTCGCCCGGGTATCCCGGTCGACCGGGCAACCCCGCCTGGTCGTCCAGCCCAGTCGGTCGCCGGCTACACCAAGCCCGGCGTCTCAGGGTCGGCGTCCTAACGTCCAGGTCGGCGTCCACTCGCCCAGGACGCCGTCCAGGCGCCCAGGTCGGCGTCCAGGCGCCCGGGACGCCGAGCAGACGCCCAGGTCGGCGTCC